ATTTTAAGAAGTTAAAATTGATCAAAACTTATGCCCAAAACACTTAGACCCTACGTGGTGCCATTCACAGCCAAGAGAAAGGCAAACAGTGCTTGTCTCTCCTGCCTTCCCTTTCGCCTCCTCTGCCACCCCAGGCCTCCTCTTCAGCCTACTGGACATGAAGATGACGGTGACGAGAAGACCTTTATGATGACACACTCCCACTCAGGGAATAGGAAACAAGCATCAGGCACTTAATAAACTTCTCTGTTGTGCGTGTCTTCATGTGAAAATCTAATAATAACGTGGCAAGAACTATATGAGACATTTTTGTGTCATCATCATGCCCTACGTATTCATCACATAGATGTATATGGACATGGATAGCCTATCCTTACATAGGTGTAAGGTGAGTGATATTAAATATAAGATGAGCAATGCGTTTGTTTCCTTACTGGTTTATAACTTTGCTTTCAAAGAATTACATTACCATACAGTATGCTTTACCACTTGTAACCTGGAGAAACTGTGAATCAGGCTATCATCACAGGCAGGGGGTGGTGTGTTTTTTTGATGTAATACTTTTTCTAATACCCTATTATAAATATGACTGTAATACTATATGCCATAAAAATTTGATAATGATTCATTCCTTAGTGTATAGGCTAGGCTACCATGAGGCAATCAAACTGATCACACTACCTACCATAAAACAATCATATTGCTGCTGCTTCATTATAATGCATGAATTGTTATACCTGTAAATAAACATGAATTTCATTTTCACATTATCTTTTCATTTTTGATATCTAGTGTTAGTACTATGTGTACCATATGCAGTGTTTAATATTGCGTGAGATGATATTGATGTAGATACTGATAGGCAATTCATCTTGCAAACACAGATGGCATAAACTTATGGTATCAATAAATACAGTATGATTTTGTAAGTGTATTTTCTATTCCTTGTGATATTCTTAATTTTTCTTTACTCTAGCTTACTTTATTGTAAGAATACAGTATATAATACATACAACATACAGAATATGTGTTAATTGACTGTGTGTTATTGGTAAGGCTTCCAGGCTACAGCAGGCAATTAGTAGTTAGGTTTTGGGGGAGTCAAAAGTTGTGTGTAGATTTTCAACTGCACAGAGGGTCAGTGCCCCTAAGCCCCATGTTGTTCAAGGGTCAGCTGCAAATTTAGAAATGTAATGAAATTAATTGCAGAAAGTGGCATTTCCATTTATATGTAAATAGTGAGATTTATGTGTTTTCTTCTGAATAAAAACGTAGGAACCAAACCAGTTAAATACAGATGATACAAGAGTAAAAGCAAACAACATACAGTACAAGCATGGATAAGGAGGCTCTATTGCATAGCCTCAGAAAGCTTATCATAAATAGACCCTTAATCAGAAGAAAAACTGAAAATACAAAAGATAAGCACTTTGCTACAAGGTCAATCACATCGGTAGCCCCAGAAAAGTTTGACAAAGATGAAATTAGTCTTTGATGCTTCTGTGCCCTCACACCTTAGACTTGCAGTATTTTTTTTTTTTTACTGCCTTCTGGCTATTCAGTCATTCCCAGAGGCAAACCCAGAGTTTCTGCCTTCTTCACGATAAAGACACACCCTTTGTTATTAAATTTTTTCAGGCATAATAAGTTCAGTTCAAAATGTTTACTCCTGTTCCCCATTATTGTGAGTTAAACTGAATAATCCCTGCCAGAGAGTGATATATCCTTAGATTATCTATGTTTCTGTAGTTCTGCTGAGATCTAGGCCATGGACCTTCTTCACGATAAAGACACACCCTTTGTTATTAAATTTTTTCAGGCATAATAAGTTCAGTTCAAAATGTTTACTCCTGTTCCCCATTATTGTGAGTTAAACTGAATAATCCCTGCCAGAGAGTGATATATCCTTAGATTATCTATGTTTCTGTAGTTCTGCTGAGATCTAGGCCATGGGTTAGAAAGAGGCTGGACATTTTGTGACCCCTGGAATCCTGCCAGTCAGGTGCCTACCTCATCTAGGGTTTAGACAACCATCTGGATTTACATTTGTAATATCTTTCTATTCTCACTCCCTTCTATCAAGCATAAACAGATTGCATATGTACTTCTAAATCTAAAAATTAAATCATTCTTTTAAATACTCTTACAATTGACTATTTCTGCAAACTCATGAAAAGCTGAAAAAAAAGTAAGGCATGACTAATTCATTTAATGATGGTTACTATGATACACCTATCTTATATGAATTAAAGGGTTTGTTAATTATGTCTCTATATTGGAAAATTAAATTTTCTTTGCTTTGGTAATTGACAATAAAGAAAGATTTTCAGGGATTTGAATTTTAAGCTGCATTAATGATGGTGATTTCAAGAACACTGAGCTGTTTCTTGGACAATTTCAATAAATTGAAAAGATTAGTTTACCAGGACTTAAAGCTGCATCCAATTTTTATTTGTCAAACAACACCTTGTTTTTGATTACTAAACTAAGCAGTTGTTTTAAAAAAGGTCATTGAACACTTAAGATTTTCTATTGTTGCTGTTATTATTTGTTTTGCTTGATAGAGTTCAGAACATATTTGGAACATAAGGATTTGTTGGGAAAAGCAGAAATATTTAGCACAGATGAGACTATGATGATTCTATTCCTGTTGTATCTTAACTCTTAAATATCACATGCAGAGGTTATATTCCAGGACACATTAGCTAATGACACCTAATATTTGTTGCACTTTGCAATCTTTAGGGTGTGTTCACATTAACTCTTCCAGTTGTTATAATAACTCTGTGAAAAAGAATAATCTCTATTTCATAGTTGAGAAAAGAAAGCTGAGAGATGCCTTCCCTTAACCAAAAACACACAGCTAATGAAGACCAGCATCTAGGTGGATTTTACTCAGTGTAGTGTTCTTTTGTGGCTGTTAATTTGTTAGGTCCTTACAGTTATTTCCTTAGTTATCAGGGTTCTAGATCATTTTTACTGGGAAAGTTATATAAGTGTTTGGGTTTTGGGGTTTTTATTGGCTGAAAATTCCTGGTTACCATACACAGCTAAAGACTGATCATTCCCTTGTAAACTATTCTAGTTTCCTAAAGGAGGATGCAGATGCAGGGACATGACATCACTAAAATGATAGAGTCCTCTGTGAGATGCTATTGTGTCTAGTTCTTTCCACTGTTGCTTGTAAACACAGAGAAGGGTGGAGTCAATAAGGGAAATAGGGCAATGTCATCTAGTGATTCGGAGGCCAGGTAAGAAAAACGTTTCTAGAGAAAAATCTAAATTTGGTTCACAGGGATATTTAAATATAATTTTTAATTTACTAAGCTAAGTGGTCTAGACAAAGGATTTATTTAAAGTTTGGGTTTGGTTGTCAATAGGGCCCGAATGTCTAGTCACACTGAGAGATCCTTCACTACATAATGCAAACTGAAATTTTCAGGCCAGCATCATGCCATAGGAAAAGCACAGGCTTTAGAATCAGAATTATCCTTCTGTATAATTTGTATATTTCAGTGGAATAACTTTCACAAAAATCATTTCACCTCTCTAATACTTAATTTCCCCATCTGTACATGATATATATTTGACATTCAAGAAAGAGTAGTTACTATTTTGGGGACTTCAGTAAGAGCCCCAAAGTCACTTACTATGTTCAAACAGTAACAGTGATACCTGCAGAACTCTGAACCTGCTCTGTGGTAGACAAAAGGACACCTAGAAATCAACTTGGGCAACACTTTGCAAGGTTGGTATAGGGAGGTAAGTTCTAGGACATTGTAGAAAATCTGCCATTATGAGCAAAGGCAGAAATGGAAATTTTCTATAAACTTACCTCCAAATCTGAGATTTCATTATTGTTTACTTGTATTTATTTGTGAACTGTAAGTGCATATTATTTGTACCTCTTATTCAACCAAATATAAATAAGGTAACATTTATTGAGATAATATATTTGACAATAATTCTAAAATTCTGTAGCACTTTAAAGATATAGGATCATATTATAATTCTATGCTTACAGCTGGAATAAATTTATTTATTTGTTTCTCATCAACTGAACAGCCTTCTTAATTTGGGCTCAATGATGAATATCCTATTAGAACTTAATTTTCTTATATATGTTTCTCTAATTAGAAAGCAATCTGAAAAAGTCAAAGACTATTTTGCCCTGGTATTCCTAGAATGGATCATTCACTAGACCCTATATTTAGACTTACTATGTTTCCACTGTTCAGACTCCTGTTGTCCACCCTTATTATTTATACCTGGAAAAAAAATCCAACATCAAGTCCTTCCTGTTACAAATTAATGCCATGACCTTTTCTGCCTTACGGGCATTTCTAGAAATAGCCCTTAAATGTGAGATCAAAATCGTTCCCATTCCGTAAGTAAATCATGTTTTCATATTGCAGGTCATAATCCTTTATCAGGAATAATAATGCAGTTCTACTTTTTACAAGAAATGGAAAATACAACCTCAATAAATGGATGCAGCCCTTCAGAAAGGCTTTCAAATGAGCAGTGCTGAAAATTGATTTGGTGACTCGTCAATTGCATTATTCAGAGATGACATCAGCAGTAGAGCTGTAGCCAGTGCTGGCTCATTGTCCACCCCATGACAGCCCTTCATAAATAAAATACCTACTCTGTAAAGATGTAAGCATCTCTTGGGCTGTAATTTGAGTTTGAAAACTAATTAAACAATTTTCCACCAGCCTCATTAATAAGCATCGGAACACATGACAGCCAATGCTAACAAAACATTTCAGATATCATCACCCATGTGTCATTCTAGAGGAAAACCAGACAGTTGGCTGTGACAGTTCTGCTAATATTTATTTCTTATTTTGTTTATGATCCATTTTATAGACTACCTTATTAGATTATGTTTAACTTAAACCCTGAATTGAAATGCTTCAGCAATGACATGTTCTTTGATATTCTTTGAACAATTCTCTCTGTTCCATCAGTGTAAAAGACATCATATGCTTCTTTACCTGGGGGGTTATGTTCATTGAGAATCACAAGTGATGCTGGTGTAGGTCGTCTTTTCCTGATCTGTGAACAACAAAGGCCCAGCTAAGGTCAGTGAGAGCACTGCTCCAGGTTACCCTACAGCTTGCAAAGCTGTCCCAGCCTCATCTTTCCCCAATACAAAAGCAAATTTTGGGAGGGCACACAGTAGGTACTCACTAACTTTATTTTGAATAACGGAATGTCAGACAGTAGAACTATCAGATATTAGTATCTCCTTCTTTAACCAAAAGCTAAATTTATACAGAAACTAGTTGTATATACAGAAAAGAAATAGTTCTATATAGTCAAATGATGCCACTGAAAATTAATATACAGTGAAGGCCCAGGGATGACTTGCTAATTTTAAGGGCACTCTTGGAGCCTCAGAGTATTGATGATGCTTTCAAGATCCATTGCACTTATTTCTAAATGTGGTAAGAGAAGCTTAGAAAAAATTTCTAGCAGGTTAAATTTAACAGCTTACATTTTTAATTTCAATTAATATTACAAGGTTTTCTAATTTTCTCATATAATATTCAAAACAAATCAACAAAAAATGAATATGTATCTTGTGAGAGTTTATAATTCATTTTAAACTAATAGATTTGGTGTGAGGGTTGTTTTTCTTATTTTAAGAGTTACAGGAATATATTATGATAAGAATTTCTAGTGGGTCCTGATCTCTTAAATATATAGGTAAATCTCCAAAGCGTAAGTCAGTAGGATACAGAATAAAATTTACCAAGACATCTTGTCTGGGATACAACCAATGCCTCATTCGCCATATTCAAGGTTGTATTTATCAGGCCCAAATCTGAGCTAGATCTACTTCAGATTACCAAAACATCCTAAAAAGTTATGTCTCAGATTCAATAATTATTTTTAAGACTTTGTATAAAATATTTGTAAAAGGATTCAGGGATCATTTAGGTCTTAAAAAATTAATGAATTGGGTTGGTAACCCCATAAAGTTCTTTTGCTTTTGTCTCCCCACTATTGTAATTTTACCACAAATGATCTTTTAATAGTTCCGCGGCACCAAGAATCTAAGGAAATCTGAATATGAAAGATGATATAGATGTAAGCCAATTTACATGAGCAAGAGAGACTGAGATTGTGAGAAATGCAGATACATATCTACACTAGACAAGAAAAAGAAATCCAGGAAATGTTAAAGTATTATTTTTAATATCTGAATAAAATTTCTTAAGATTATATATATGCCTACAAAGCCTACCTATCATATTTTAAATATATTTAGAATTACTACTTTGGATACACAATGTAAAACATTAAAATAAAATACTAAACTTATAATCTGAAATTATCTCAATTTATTTGTTAAACATTTCATTGTTACTGAACTTTCACTGTTAAATGAATCTTTGTATTTTATAAGTGATCAAATAAAAGGCTGTTAATTTTGAGAATTTGTTTAAAGTTTCTCTAAATGTTGAACTTGTTATTTTAATAAGCAAAAGCAAACATAATTTTGGATCCAAATCTGAATCACTAATATAGCCATTTTTTCCTAATGAGTGATAGTTTTGTGTCACATGACACGAAAGTACTGCATGTTAGCCAATATTCCTTCTAATGCAATTCAAATACAAGTCATATGGAAACCAACTTTTTTCTCATTTACACATCCTGAGAAGTCACAGAGTTAGGCAAATCCAAGAGGTAGAGAAGTTTTCAATTAATAACAAGGATTTATGTCCATATTACTTTATATACAAGAACTGGTTCCCTTCCAATTCCGCTTACCTGCTCTGCTGCTTCAGGAGCAATTTGACTCTGGAATAAAGGTACAGCAAATTGTATCTTTTTCGGACTGTTGGGCTCCATGACAATGATGAGAATGGTCAGAGATGTGAAGGGCTCAGAAAGACTAACCCCAGGTGTTGTCTGGGATGTGTGTCCTCAGGCGCACTCCACCCAGCCACACAGAGCTCTTCGTAATAAATAGCTGTAATTCCAGAGCGAGCAAGTGAAGATGCCGAGGTCCGAGGAGCTTCAACATCCACAATTATGCCTGGCTTGTCTGTTCCCCCACCAATCCCTCGGATCCTCTCAGCACAATACAGAAAGGAGCAATAAGCTAATTGTGTGCCTCTTCACTAATACATGCCAGGCAGTCACTCAGCAGCTAATTGAAAATGCAATGCTAGCCTTGAAGGGCCCGCTGCCCTGGGATTTGAAAGAAAGGCTCTATCCACTGTACATTACTAACTGGCTGCTCAGAAGTGCAATGTAAGCTCCCTCTGAGTATTGCTGGGATGGGCCATTCATTATTGATGAACATAAAGCAGGAAATTTTTAGAGTTGGGGGCAGGGTTTGAGTATGGAATTATTTCATTTCTCTTGTAGCAACTTGTAAGTCAGACACCTTTGCTGTTTCACATTAGCCACCAAACTGATGGATGGCCATGGAGGGTAAGCCACAACCATTAATATCAGCTATATTATGCTGCGAGATCTAGTTAGGTAAGACTGATCGAGGGAGGCAGAGCATCTGTGGCGCAGTGAGGACAGCATCGCCCCAGGAGCAGATCTTAGTTCAAATTCCACCTCTACCATTAACAACCTCTGTTGCCACAAGCAAATCATAGGCTATGCCTAGGCTCCCACGCCTTCATCAGGAAAATCCCGGGGACTGGACTCGATGACCTTTAAGCTCCTGTTTTGTTCCAACATTCTATAATTGTAGTTCACAATTTTCATTAGAGTGGAAAATATTGAACAGCTAAATTTAGCAAACAGCTTGAAGGTCACTGCGGTTACAAAGACCTCTATTTTGTTTCTTGGTGCAACCAGTTACATCCTCTGATTTGGAGGAATATGGAAGTGGCTAGAAAACATCAGTGGGAACCTAACAGTATCCGACATTATGGCTTGTTCAATATTGGGGATATACAGAGAGAAAAGGACTGGAAAAAGCATAAAGGGGGTAACCTCCAGAACGATAGAGGATGATGGTCATACTGGCTGGTGGTGAAGGGAGAGGGAGACACTGGCCTGATCCCCACAACTGTTAATGTCCAGGGGGCGGCAATAGCATAGCCTGATGGCCCTCATGCGTTCAGCTCCTTTGTGAAGGAAGCCTGAGAATGAGCCTGCTTTCATGGGAGAAAGAACTTGAGTTCTCTGTTTCCTTATTTGAAAGACATTGTTTGATAAGTCCTAGCTTTTCAATGTTTTCATATTTTTATAATACATTTAGACATTGCCTGCATTCACTCCAGGTATTCACAAATGAAATTTTCTTCCTTTTTTAAATAAATTCTGAGTCTGCCAGGAATCCATCTTAATAATTTAAGTATGTAACATTCTGTTGAAAGAATATAGAAAATAATATGCATTATTGAAGTAGTTTTCTATACCCTCTAGGGGAAAAGGCCAAAGAAGATGTAGATGTGAAAGCACTTTCAGTTCTAGAACAGTGCTGACCAGCAAGAAATCTTGTGATAGGTTCTTTCTTGTAGTGTGGAAGGGAAACTTAAAAGTTACATTTTGTATAACGGTTTACAAAAGTCCCCAGAATGAAAATATGAATTAATGAAGTTATTTCTTGGCATATTTCTTCAAGTTATATACAAGGAAAACAAGACAGTATTTCTAATTAGTTATTAATCCAAAATTTCATTTAGTGTAGGAATTAAGACCATGCACTTGGCAACCTTAAGTTCAAACCCTGGCTCTGCTACTTATTCAATTGACCAATTTGGACAGTAAGAGAACTTTCTTCTTGTGGGGTTTAGATGAATTAATTCTTTAGAAGAGCTCATTACAAGACCAGCATATGATAACTACTTAGTAAAAGACAGCTACGATTTTTCTTCCAATTAGATTTTTCAAAAGGCTTAAAGATACATATTTTTAATCTAAGTTACTAGGAATCTCTACCTATTGGATACTTTGATACCAGTTATAACAATAAATGAAAAACTGAAATTCCATGTATACATTATGTATAAATATCAATAAAATGATTCCCATTAATAAACTGCCCTGTTTCAAATAGTTTGACCAGAAATAGTTTCATAAAGGGACTGTCAGACCCTGTAAGCTGCTTCTCCACCAGGCCCACGCCTATGCCTTCTTCAGAACTCAGGTGATCATCATTGCTCTGGGTAACTCCAATAGCTTTATTCCTGCCCACCGTGGGTTTAGACCCACATCTTCTGTGTTCCCAAAGCACCCAGAATACCTCTACTTAGTATAATAACTACCCATCTGTCTTTTAACTGTTTAGCATCTTTCAATGCTATTCATGCACATAGGGAATACTTCTTGAGTAGATACTATAATCTACTCCATACTGGCCTTTTGTATGGCATTAGGGGAGAGATTGTGTTAAAAGGTGACTGAGGTCCTTTTAAAGCTATATTATTATTCTAAGAGTCAATTAAAATGCAACTTAAATTTGAAATAATCTAAATATGTTTATGTGTTTATATGGGGAGTATAGTTATGCTAAATATTAGGTGTACATTAGAGTTAATAATAATCATTAAAGCTTACATGACACTATGTGCTTTATCTGCATTAATTTATTTAATATTCATGACAATACTTTGAGGTAGATACTATTGCAATCCCCAGACCTAATTTAAAATGAAGAAACTAAGAATCAGAGAATTTAGATAATTTGCCCAAGTTCATCCAGCTAATATGGGCAGGCAATTTTGCCTAGAGCCTGGGCTTTAACCACAATGCTTTCTATCATGTAAGGGCCTATGCAGAAGTCAGCGGAAGGCAGCAGACTCTCTGCAGTGGTTAGATGTTCTAACCACAAGAGTTTCATGGTAAAAGATCTCAAGATGATGTGGCATATGAATGAAAGGACAGAAAGTAGCATGACTACAGGACACTACTAATCAACAAGATCTCACATTTCACATTAGACAGCAATACAAAATGGAGAATCTAGAGTTGGTGTTATGTCACCAAGCTGGCCTGAAAGAAAGCAGCTGCTTTTTTGTTGTCGTTGTTTTCAGTTTTTTATTAAGGTATGATTGATATACACTCTCATGCCGCCATCTTTAATGAAAGCAGCTGTTTATTCCTTTTTTTAAGTAATGGGTTCTACCATTAAAGATTAAAAATGCCTCTAGCACAAGCAATAACTATAGTCTGTCTTCAAAGTAAGTGATACTGTGAGTAAAGGTAATAATACATTAGGAAAGCAGGCTGTTATGTCTTCTAATTCTACTCTGTAATATCTGTCTAACCCTATTTTCCACAGCAACTCCAGACCCCCAGGCACTCAATATTTCATCCCACAGCCAGCCTTTCCATGACCTCCCCTACTTCCCTGAGAAGCTTTCTCTGCCTTTTTTCCTTTTCTTCAAATTGAATTCATCCTCTAATTCTGTCTCCTTAGTAAGGCACCCTCAGATTCTCCAGACAGGAGGAATCACTCTTCCTTCCTTCCCTGGTACCTAATTGTATGTAGTTTTATGTTATTCCAATACAATTCCCAATGTGTTCCTTTGGCCTCTCCTCTCAGACTGAAAATCCTTACCTATCCTCTTAACCATGAACAGAACAAGCAAGATGTTGGCCATTTAGCCGCTACCAAATAACTCCACTTAGGCTGCATCTATCTGATATTGTCAGGAATCAAGGTATTTCAATGTACTGAATTTTTCCAAAGACGACAAGTTTACCTTTTTCAGCACCACACCTTGCTTTTATTTTAATAGTTTAATGGGCACTTAAAACATATTCAGTATTTTAATGCCTTTTAAAAAAGTATATATCAAACATTTGTCCTTCTGCCTTACTTCATAGCATTCATATAAATATCAATTGTTGTACTTTGTCATCTACAGATGTATCTGAAGCTACTGGTATTTCTTGCTACCCTAACTAGCTCCAATTTCCATAGATACATAGTTCCTATGACAGTTTTAGAGTTTTTCTTTACCTAATGGTTGCCAATCACTTTTAAATTTTCACAGTCCGTTCAGGCTGCTTTAATAAAATACCAGACACTGGGTGTCTCATAAACATCTATTCCCCCCAGTTCTGGAGCCTGGAAAATCCAAGATTAGTATTTTGAGGGACCGGACACACTGCGGGACTTTGCTGACACCACCCTTGGGGAAGAAGTTCCTTGGACAGCCCAGGCAGATGAGTGTCACAGGGAGACAGAGGCAATCACAGGTATGGACCAGCAGGCCTTGGAAATTTTTGCCCAGGTGGACTGTTAAGAAGATTTTAGTTCAAGTCCAGCAAAAGCGCAAGAGTAATGGGAAGAAGAGTTAGAATACATTCTTGTCCCTACTTTAGCCAGCTCCTTTTTCATTTGTTTCGGTAATTTTTATTTTGTTTATCTCCATAGCTTAATTTTAGCTTTTTCCAGATTTTTATTTTGGGAAGATGATTATTACATGAAATATGGAAATCATAATTACTGAGTTTACATAAAATTTGCGTTTACAAAATACTTTCATAAATGTTATTCATTCATCCAACAAATAAATATTAAGCATCATATTCTGTGCCAAACAGAATGAACAAGATAAGATGAACGAAATTCAAAGAGCTTAGAGTTAGGAAGACAAACCCTAAAAAAGTAAACAGCATGAGCTAGAGATGCTATGATAAAAAGTGGTAATAGGAAATAAGAGGGGACCTGAGTAGGAGGGTGATGGCTGGCTCGGGGCCATAGACAGTTTTTGTTTGCCTACACAGTATTTTTAAAAACTGAGATGACATTTGAAAACAAAAATAAAAAGCACCCAGCTTCTCTTGATAAAACAGAAGGTCTGGCAAAGCTGGTCTGTCATATCCACAAGGTCACAATCAACTCCTGGGACACAGAGTTACCTTCTGTAAACATGGCAGTAATTTCTACACTAGAAATCACTCTTAACACTGAGTATGAAGATATTGACACCCAGTTAGCTTCAGCCAACCTCTGAGCTAGAGGGAGACAGGCATGACAACATGGACAATGCAAAGAAATGTGGAATTTACTGTGAAGACAGTAAGTACAGCTAAGAGATTTAAGTAGGAGAGTATCGTCATCTGATTTGAATCTTAGGAGTATCACTGTGCTGCTGTGTGGATAGGTTGGAAGGAGTCAAGACCAGGCGCAAGAACATCTAAGGATTTTATGATGTTCTACTCAAGAGATGACAAAAGTCTTAGCT